AGATTTGGAAATAAAGAAAAAGGGAGTACTAATTTGAGATTTGACAATTAATTCGAGACCTAATTGCTGCAAAACTAGTAAGGAAAAAAATTCTATTTCGTCAATCTGTAGCAAAATGCGGCTATGGAGTTAAAATTTGATGTGCTAAAAAAACTTAACTTTACCAAACTTAACTTTTATTTAAAAATTCGATTTCGTGCGCAAGTTATTGCAAATTTAAGTTCTTATTCGTGATATTTTACCATCTTTTTTTACTATCTATTTGATCATCGCTGTTAGAAATTTATTTTTCTTTGATGTTCATTAGTTTCTAAGCTCTCGCTCGAGTAGATGCCAATCAAAAGTTGCAAAGAGAGATTATGCCTTGCCAGATATAACTCTTAGTAAGAGGTAAGTGGAGCGAACACGAAGTGGAGCATTTAGCCATTTTATAAATAATAGATAACAACATTACATAATATAATAGTTATGTAGTTAATAATTAATAACGAGTTAAATTTAGTTGCTATCCAAACGCCTTTTAAAATTACAAGACAGTAATTTGGGCAAAATGCATTTTTAAGTAACGTTATTCTCAAAATTTATTAGATAATATTTTGGAATTAATTTATGCATTAAACCTTTTGTAATATAGAAGAATACTGATTTCATGACCGTTAGACGGATAACGGGAAGAAATTTATCGTGTTAATTCCCAGCTGAATTACATTCCGTAGATAACAGTGTTACTCTCTTATGAAAGATTTCATTTTAAAAAGAATTTAATGTATGAATGTATGAAAAGAATTTAATTTAAACAGCAAATATGCTTTGTATAAAATTTGTAGGTGATGGGTATAGAAAATGATATTTCATATTGTCTGTGCTTATATTGTTTAAATTGTATCGCTCGTGACATTTAAAAAAAGAATCATTTTTATAACTAAATCTAAAAGAGTAAAAGTTGAAATATATATTTTTAGGGTATTATTAAAATTTTTCCAAATATGTTTTTTCTTAAAAAATTTATTCATATTTGTGGTAATGAGTCACGTTTTCGGTAGTTCTAAAACTTTTCCAAGTGGAAAATTAAATGAGTTACTTATGTAGAAAAACAATTTGTTTTTATCTACTACTTTCTCAGTTATTGATAAAAATATATTTAACTTAAAGGCTTTTTTCTTCTTCTTTTTTGTCAAAAAATAAAAAAAAAATACTTATGTAACTTTTAAAAAGTTTTGAGCAGCTGAAGGACCGGTTCAGTGTTTATGAGAATTTTAATGTATTAAAATCTGAAAATAAACAGAACACAATAGTTCTCGGGTTAACTATTTTGAAAGAAAAGTACATTACGATATTCAAACAAGCAAAAAGGACCTTTGTTTAAAAGTGCAGAAATGCAAACTTACCGTAAAGCTATAAAGTTAATGAAAATATAAATATCAAGGAAAATTATATTGGCATTTAGATTCATTGCATTGGAGAAAACATCGGCAACATCGTTAGACTAGGTCATAAAACAGGTGATAAACAACTAAACATCTTTAAGGGAGTCTAAGACAAAGGCAGCTTTAAGAGAGTCTTTTTTAAGAAGTGCGTTGTGTAATACTAATTTTATTACGTAATGCAATCTGCATGGATTGTTTTTAAATTTTTATACACTTGTATCATGCAAAACGAAAACAAGCTGTACTCATATTTTTTTTTAAGAAAATCAAAATGTTATGAATTTAAAACAGGTTTTTTTTAATATCTGGAATAAAAATATTTTTTTAATATTATTGTTTTTAAATTCACTTTGAACAAAAATGTCCGGGCTTAATGGTTTCAGAGTGTTTTGGTAGTAGGGATTGAAAAAATTTCAAAAAATTCAAAGCGGCAGTTAATATTTGTCCTTATTTTGCTTATTTTTTTTTAAATATACATTTTTAAAATATGAGACCAAAACTATTTCATAAATTTACTGAAGTAAAATAGCTAACAATTATTTATGTGGTGTCCTAGGGAGAGATTTTTTGCGAACACGTTTTGAAATATGTCATTTGAAAAATGGTAGAAAAAAAAGGAAACAACTACAAAATCTTTCAAATTTTCAGCATTATTTGACATTTGAAGTTTAACATGGGAAAAAATGGATACAATCTGTCTTTGATTTATTTAATGTTGGAATAAATATATATAAAATGCATAATATTATTGTTCTTAACTATTAGTCACTTAAAATAAATTTAGCTTTAAATATTACTAAATTATTTAAATAAATTATGCATAAAATATTTAGAAACATTTAACTTAATTATAAATTGATATGATAACAGTTAATTTGTTATTCATGCAAAAATCCATGCATCGTGATTTCTTTTTGACCTAAATATTGCAGATATATTTCCCTTAATGCACAATTTCAATAATTCTTGAAGATATTTTCCTGGCTTTAACAAACTTCTAACCATTATTTTAAAAAAAAATAACAAACCAGGATAAGGAATACAAAACTCTAAACATTCGGAAAACAGCATTTAAAGCGTTTTTATAAATATTAATTAATTTTAATAAACATTAATTAACGCCGTTTTTTCCCTTAGGTGATTTTTAGAATTTTCTTACAGTTATGCATTATTTCATATCAAATAACAAATTTAATGCCACATTAATAAAAAAAAACTATTTTTAATACGAAAGCTAGATGAACATTTTTAGAAATATAACCCTCTTCCACCTTTGTATCATTGATATTTTCTTCTAGATGCAGTGATAATATATTATAGGACAGTTATATTTTCAGCTACTAATAAATGTTCCCCATTTACGACTTCGCAAAAATATAGATATGCATTCCCTTCAGTAAGAGTTGAATGGAAGGTGAAGTAATATAGGATGCCTAAAATCGAAAGAATCTTTCCAAGTATTCTCATAAAATCTTTTATGCAGAAAACTTTTATTGCAAGCAGCTATTGTCAGCTTGTAGAATTTCGAATTTTACGACCCAAGTATTTTGAAAAGGGATCTCAGCCAATAATCCAGCCATAAATACAAAAGTAGTTTTTTCCCTCATATCCAAAGGGAAGAGTAAGGTGGAAATAAAATTCATTTCTATGAAAATCACTGAGCGCTCTACCTATGCTTTCCATACTCCTACCTCCAACATCAAACGATTTACTTATATTTATGTACGTTTTTCACTGGCATTATTATTTTTTTTTTTTTGCCTGATCATTGAAATTTACATCTGAATCTTGCCTCTAAAATGAATAGTTCTCTTTACTTTGTAAGTAATAAAACGAAATCAGATTTTATATCTTATTTTGAAAATATCTTTAGAATCTGACGCATACAAGCATTTTAATTTCTAAGCTTTCTAAGCAGTTTAATTTTCTGAAGAAAAAAATTTAAAATCTCCTGTTAACTAACATTGTTTTTTCGTTTCATCATTTAAGTTGACGTCTGAATCTTCCTTCCAAAATGAATGGTTCTTTGTACTTTGTAAGAAATAAAACAAAATATGATTTTATATATTATTTTAAAAATATTATTAGAATCTGTTGCATACAAAAGTTTAAGTTTCTAAGCAGTTAAATTTTTTGAAAAAAATTTAAAATCTCCTGTTAACTGACTTTTTTCGTTTCATCATTTAAGTTTGCATCTGAATCTTCCTTCCAAAATGAATGGTTCTTTGTACTTAGTTAGCAAGGAAACAAAATCTGATTTTATATCTTATTTTAAAAATATTTTTAGAATCTGACGCATGCAAACGCTTAAGTTTATAAGCAGTTTAGTTTTCTGAAGAAAAGAAAATATTAAACCGCCTGTACCTTTGTTAACTAACATTGATATTTCATTGACGCATCATTTAAAACAAAGTTGCCCTAACGACACGAGGACTGATAGAACATAGAGATAAATTACATCCATGCCCAAAGCGGGACTTAAACCCGGGATCTTCCTGGTTCGAAGCCAACTTCTTGACCACAATACTGGCAAGCTTATTTCATGCTTGTATTTTTGAATGCCTAGTCTTCTCATTCTAGTCAATAATCTCCCACAAGGCACTACAATGGGGTCTCTAGTTGAGAAGACATTTTTGTCATACATTCGTCACAAATTACGTGAATTCGTTATGAACAGATCAAAAATTGCTGAATCGTAAAAATTGAGGTTTTATAACTAAAAGTATAAAAGTATCTTGTATCAATTGGAAAAACTTTTTACTTCGTAAATATTAAACGAAATCAGACATACAAATCATAATTTCTTAAGAATCTAATGAATTTAAACATTTTAACTATCGTTTTAATTATCTTGAGATACGTAAAATACTATAATTCTTGGGTTAAGCAGCTCTGTTGCTATCTACGCTTTAGTGGGATTTTTGTATTATAATAGTCCAGTGTTACCAATAGTGGAATAAATCACATTGGGAGCTCTAATTGAGTTGAAGAATTGGAGGTATCAAAGCAAGGTTTCGAATCCCAGTTAAGGTGATTATTAGATTTACCTCTCCACTGTAGAACGTTCTCAGCTGCATGTGCCGGCTTCATGAAGTTGGGGACAGTTGCAGCAGATAAAATTCTGGTTGTTTGGCAGTATTAGGGAAAATATGTCAATAAATGATTTTTTTTCATTGTTAGGAGTTTGAATATCATATTTTTTACGATTATTTGACTGGTTTGGTTAAAAATGTTAATTGCATAAATTGTTATTTAAGATTTTTTCCCTATATATTCCTAACAGTGTTTATTCCTTTATATTTTATTTTTACAGTTTACTGTATCATCATATTTCCCGCCAACATTTCAAAATAGATAAAGGCAGTGTTTTGTTTTAATATTTTTGTAAATAACATATTATATTGCTAAAATCATACTTCTTAGTTTCAAATTTCTAATTCTAAATTTCCGTTTCTTCACTTATTTCTTTATATTTTCTTTATTTAAAATATGTCAGGAATGTTAAGGATGCTTACATTGAGTGCCGTATGACTGCAGTGATAATTTCTGATAACACTTCTCTTTTCTTCATAGGTGGCGTGGCTGAGATTAGAAACACAGAGTTTATTAACAATACAGAAGCATTTAGTTGTCAAAAATTCAAGGTTGGTTGTAAATAATCCTGATTACCGACATTGGAATTTGCATATTAATGACGTACAAGAAGGTGACAGAGGTGGATACATGTGTCAAGTCAATACTGTACCAATGAAGGGTCTTGTTGGTTTCCTCGACGTTGTTGGTAAGTCTTTTTAAACTTTATTCTGATTACTATAGGCGTAAAGAGTTTCAGAGAGTTTTTCAATTATTTTCCAGATCTTTCAATGAATTTAAAAATTTAATTTGAAATTTTCAGAATTTATATGCAAAATACTAGATTTTTGTTACTAAAAATGAAAAAATATGCAAAATAAAAAAATCTATAGCATCATTATTACATGTTTGATTTCTTATGCAAAATTCAACATTTTTAATTACCTTTACTGTACAACAATAGTATAAAAAGATCATGTAAAGAACTAGCACTCTTTTTTTCTCAACAGTTCTGCAATTATTCATTTTATTACTTTTTTTAATAAAACGAATATTAAGTAAGCAATGAGCATATAATTTTTTTGATATGGTCTTTTTTAACGTAATGCGCTCTTTCATCGCTTGACAGATGAGGAAAAAAATAAGGTGAATTAAAGTAATATTAATATTCACGCTGCTAATTTCCAATAAAAAATTTTTTTCACTTGTTAATTTTTAAAACAAGAATTTTCAATAACATTTGAAAAAAAAAAAAGATTTTTGAAGCAAAGTTATCAATTTGCATTAATTAGATTTTTATATGTTATATTACTTTTTTTCATAAAAAGAAAAATCTTGTAAATGACTAGGATACAGGTTTTCATAGCGCTTTTTTTCTGGAACTTACAGATTTGGAAAAAATACGGAAATGAATCTTATTTTAAACTATTCTAAGATATGATCTAAACTTTCTTATTAATGAACAAAAATAAAATTGAACATAATGAATAGAAATTCATTATCATTTACCCCCAAAATAGAAAAAATCTTTATCATCAATTTTTTGCCTATTTTAGAGAACCAGTATTGAAAACCAAAATTAAAAAAAGACTTTTGCTTATACATACAATGTAAGAATATTTGGATTTATTAAACAGCTGTTCTACCGATATTACTTTATCACACGTTTCTTAAACGTAAACGACTCATATGCAGTTTTTAAAATGGATAATTTCTTAACTTGGCGACTTTTTTGGTAATTTGAAGATCGGTAAAAAATAAGATGAACAACCCTATATATTCATTCAGAAAATACAAGCATTCCTGTTACAATTTTCACATATTTATCTGCTTATTATTTTGTTTTATCTACGTTTTATTTATTCATTTATTTATTTAATTTTTCATCTGTTACTTATTTATATATTTATTATCCTTATTATCTATTTTCTATCTATTTATTTATCTATGTATTTCTAAAGACTGAGTTGAAGTGAAGGAAAATAACTGGTAGATTTTTTGCCTAGAAGTTCTTCAAATTACTTAGAGAGCCATTTTAATAAGGAATTCTAATTTTTCATATAAATAAGAGAAGTGACTGCATTGCTCGTAAGATCTACTAAAGAATCACTCCTGGAAGTAAAAATAATTATCTTTTTTTCTAGTTCCTCCATCGTTCGTGGATTCAGAAACGAGCTCTGAGGTTCTCGCGAGAGAAGGGACAAATGTGACTCTTTCATGTCGAGTGAGGGGTCACCCACCACCAACAACGACGTGGCGAAGAGAAGACGGACAAATTCTTATGTCAAACATCTGCTCGTATCGAATGGAAGGCAGGTGTGAAAATGGTAAGATATGTTGTGTATTTTCTAACAAAAATACAGTTACTTAGAAATATGGATTGAAAAACAATTTTACATTCCAATAGGAAACAATATCATTTAAATCTGATGATTTCAAGGAGCCGGGATGACCTGGCTGGTAGGACTTTGAGCTCGTCTTCGTGAGAACGGGGTTTCGAATCCCATCCACCGAAGAATCTCCGTGTATTAAATGCTGACTGGTGCACGTCAAATCATAGGGGTCACAAGGTCCTCTAAGCTCCCATATCAAATGAATACTTCTGGGGGTACTGAATTGAAGATTGATCGCTCTCTGTTTCTAGCCAAAATTACGATCTGAGGATGAATGAATGGAGTACAATTTGGTCCTCTATTTAAAACGAGCTGTGACGTGTGCGTAGCTGAAGTCGTATTATTGGCCATAGATGGCGCCACTGAAAAAACAAAAAACGCATTACCTGCCTTAAAAATTCGCATGATTTCAATCTGGCATGATGATATAGGTAACAACAACAGCATCAAAATATCTCAGTTATCACTTTACTCTCACAGGAAAACTAATTTGCTTAAACGAAAATTTGTAGACTAGAACGCATGTCCGTAATATCATGAAATTCGACATTGTTAATCGATACGGCATCGATTGTCACATTGGTGGTCACCATCATGCCATATCGTGAACGCCCAACACATGATAAAACCAATGAGATGAATTTTACAAATCCAAATCGATAATGTTTCTTTAAGAGGCGAGCGAGTACCCATAAAATCTGAAGGAGGTTAGGGTGTGTGGCATTCCAGGAATCGAAATCCAGTATTTTGCAAATTCAGTTTGGTATATAAACTATCACATGCCATCATTGAGCCATCACGTAGCTTAAGTTTACTGAAACATCGTTTTTAGCAATGAGCGTTGACATAAAGTTATACATTTATAAAAAAAGGAATTCAGGTCTAGCTTTTCACGCCTTGCGATGAATTAAATTAGTTGAATCATAAAACACATTAATATCGAATATGGCTTTAATTTATGTAGCAAAAATTTTAAAATTGTATAATATGTAACCTTATATAATTTAATTTTAAGTTATATAAGTGCATAAGATTATTCAAGTCTTTTGAGATTGTGCTTATTTAGTTCTTACTTGCGTTCACGTGAAGTAATAAATATCATATTTTCGAGAAAAATAAAACAGAAAAAAAGTAATTTTAAGAATGTTTTTGAAACATGTTTTATCATCTTAATAAAAAAGACTGATTCTCAGAAACAAGGCAAAGATTCAGGATGCTTTACAGTTGGAACAAGTTGCAAGCGGATTTTGCTTCAGAATAAAAAAAAAGTTAGAAAGATTAGTTAAAAGAGACAATATATGTTAAAATAAAACAACCATAAAAAAATGAACGCAAAAATTATTTATGTCTTATTTTAAAACAATTTTAGAATTACATTTTATCTATCGAAATTAAAAATTAAGTGCAATTTTAAAACACTTCTAAACAAATAAGATTAAAATTGAAAGCTAATTGCTATAAAAATGAACACGACATGCATTTTTTTCTAATTTCTTAAGTAAGATATGTGATAGAATTTAATAGCTTATAACTAACTTTTATGAAAATGAAAAATAAAATTTAAGCCCAACTTAGATTGCGATATGGATTAATAAATGTATTTTTGTTTCACAGAAAGAAAAAAGAATTTTGAGAAGTTTAAGCCACTTAATCTTTTCATAATTTCCTGAATAATAAGATTTCACACTGCGAGAAAAAAGTAATGCAGATAGTTCTAATTGCGTTATAAAAATCATTTCTTCTAAAGATCTAAGTATTTATTAGCTTTATTTTCCCGCAATATAAATTTCCTAAACCCTAGACAGATTATAATAATAGATAAAAATGCGGCATCTTTTCAAAAAACTGATCGTCTTCAGATTTCTCAAGTGCATCCAATCACCACATTTTCTTTCTTCTTCCAAATCGCATTTACATCCTCCCCCTCATTTCAATGTGGAACTCTAACAGGAATCTAAATATCACACCGAAGAAACTTTTTTTTCATTCTGGCCACAAATTCTTGCCACGCTTCCCAATCCCAATTTTTTTCTTTTACTATTTTGTTTAGTTTCTTCGAAATTCCAAGACGAAAGATTTTTCTTGAAAGAATACCTCCATTTTTGCCAAGTCTCAACTCAAAATCTTCTTTTTTGAGCATCTTCCCTTTAAGAGGATGGGGGGGGGGAGGATATGTGTGAAGGTGTATGCGTATAATAAGAACTCTTCATCCTCTTCTATCTATGATCTCCTATGGGAGAAGAGGTGGTAAACAGCTTAAAGGCATCAAAAATCGAAAAAAAAATGCCGCTCTTTTCAAGTAAAATGCTTTAATGTACGATGCGAAAGTGGTTTTTCTTGATGGAATATTAAAAAAGTAGACATTGACAAATTGCGAAAATTCTGAAAGAAAAATGATATATTTGCTTTCGATTTATAATACTCTGCGCATTATTTATCCATAACATATTTCAAAACAAATTAAACTTCAATAGTTATGCATTTTCCTTATGTAAATCTTATATTCTCAAGAAATGTAACTGAGTTTGAAATATAATATTTTGCAGAAATTTGTATTCTGATAATTAATTTCTCGAGTTTCTAGAGCAATTTCATGTTTGTAATAATATGTAATTTTATGTGTAGTAAACCTTTTCAATTTTTCGAACAGTTTTAGCAAATAAATTGATGGAGACAAATTTATTAAGCCCACACGTTTTTATATATATATATTTTTTTTAATATTAACAAATAATATATACAGCAAAAACAAAAATAAGATACTTTTTTTCTTACTTCTTCTTTAAAAATCAAATATTTATCTGTTTTAAAATGTGTATTTAAAGGTTTTTATAAATATTTTGAATTGTAAAATAAAATTCAAGCTAATAATGAATTCTAAAAAAAAAATTTTAAAATGTGCCTTGTGCCTTTTAAAACTTTTTGACATCAATGACTTATTCCTTAAAAATATTTATTATTTATAATTACTTTGTAGCTTTCGATTAATATTCATTTCTGATTTCTCTTGATTTGATAACATTTTCCTTCGACAATAATAATAAAAATATGAATGCGAAATGCAGTTTTATGTAAATGTATATTTTTCTTCCCTGCACAAACGAATACAAAGCCAGCAAATTTTTAAGTATTAGTCAGATTTCATTTAAGACATTTTCATTTCTCAAAACTGTACTTAAAATCTTTTTCATATTTTTTCAAATAGATCTCTTTAAAGATTTTTTTTGCCCTATAAGATATGTTTTAGTTTATTTCACTAGGACCATAGTCAACAAATTCATTTACAAGAATACAAATCAAACTCTTTCTTACAATCTCTAGTGAGAAAAAGATAATTTCTACTTCTGAACAAAAAGTTAGAATGTTTAGCATAATCTTCGCGTGTCAGGAAAACCAAATAAGAGAATCTAGAACGCAAATGGAGGATCCCAAACCCCAGCATTCCACAATACCAGTAACTTCAGAATTAATAACTTTCAACATATGACAGTAATAATTATGACACTTAAAAATCTTTAAAAAAGTAATAAAGGTAATTATGTTATTACAACAAAAAATATTTGTTATCGTCTTGTACTGTAAAAAATTCTAGATCAAATTTCGGTGAAAATATCGGCACTCAGGACGACGATACTTTTTACCGTAAATTTAATTTTTCCGGATCACATTATGGAACAAAAAATCTGATATACCGTAGTTTTTACAGTAATAATTACCTCAAAATCACTGACTGACTTTAATTAAAAACAAATACTACTGTAAATATTGCAATATAATTTTTTATGGTAAAAACGGGTTTTTATGGATTATTTTTCTGGGTGTTTAGCCAGAGTGTCAGCAATTTTCACTGAATTTTGATCTGGATTTTCTTACAGTGAGGGAACTTTTTTAAAATGGATCTAGCAAGTGAATACTTGCAGAAAAGTAGTTGTGATTTAAAGTAAATGTGAGGAACCCTTTTCATTTATGTATAATCAAAGTACTCATATTTTCTTTTAAATATTTGTGAACATTTCCAAAAAAAGAAAATAAATTATGAGCGCTGAAAGCAATTTCACACAATTTTAAGCTTGTCACATTATACTAGAATACATAAAACAACAATGAGAAGTAGAAATTTAAGGGTAAACATGAGATAGAGTCCCCTAGCCGTTAGGCTAACCTTGGGAGGTTCTCGTGGTCTGCCAGTCCATGTAAGGCAAATGCGGGTAAGCTCCATCAAGCAAAATCCTCCCTTGTCTTCTGGATTGGGTTCAAAGTTACAAGGCTAAGGAGTTGAGCATTAGTAGTCGTAAACCCATAAAATTGGGTCGGCTGTTCAACGACGGTCATAAAATTAAATACTACAAAATAGATGCATCAAAAGTTCTTATTTTACATCCTCCATCAAGTCGATATCTTAAGAATAAACTTTTTTCCCAATAGGATATGTTTTATCTTATTTTACGAGAACCAATGAAAAAAAAGTTGTTTACCAAACTATAAACCAAACCTATTCTTGTATTCCCCAGAAGGTAAACAGCAGTCAGTGCAAAAGAGCAATAAGTCTTCAGCATTAATAATTCCACGGAAACAAAATATGAGAATCCGGAACTTGAGCCTCCATTCCCATCATCCCACAATCCTAAAAATCCCCCCTTTCCTGTATGAGAAAGAATAATGGATAACCATTTTCAGCATATAACATTATGACACTTGAGAATCTGAAATAATATTGACAAATGCAATAATGTTATCAATGCAAAAATGAAATTTCAATTATACCAAATAATATAATACAAACCAATCCCAGTACTGTGTTCCCTAGAGGTTCAATTGCTTGCTTGTACTCGGAGATAAAGAGCTTGACGTTTCAGTATTTACCTCTGCTTTGCCCAGAAAGGAAGTTAAGAAAATCTGGAACGTGAATAAAGGATTGCTAACCTTATGATCGT